TCAATCACCAGGTCCTTAACAGCAATTAGAGATAGCAACAAATGCTGACCTTCCCAATCACGCTCATATTCCAGGTAAAAAATGACAATGAAATTCACTTACTGAAAAAAATTTGAAATTTCAGCATTTTTAATTCCCAGCTGCATTTTAACATTAGATTGATGCAATTTTTCAAAATAAATATGAATATAACTTTCTAACACAATAGCTTGCTTTCAACATGTAAAAAAAAACTGATTTTGGAAAAAAAAGGTCTCAATGAACATTAATTTTTGCACACTATTATTCTACACTGTGTTTGCTATCTCTATTATTGGAATAGATATTATTTTCTCAGGGCTGGTGATGGTATGAGCAAGAATTAAATAGTCCAGCCATTTTCAATATTTAAAAGATACAAAATGTGTCTCAGGCAGAAGGTTGCAATTTACTAGGAGTGGAATAGTTGTTCATGCAAAAATTCTGCTGGGAATTTTTATCTACAATGGGAAAAATCTAAACACATCCAAAGCAATTGGTTGAAAAAGCATTTAAGAAATGGTTGGTAATACATACAAGGATTCTAGTTGCAACTAAAAACAGGGATATAAGTTTCCTAATTTAAGATTTTTTCTTAAATTGCAAGGTTCCTCATTTCCTCTTCCACTCACTTTTTTTTTCCCCACATTAGACTTTTGAATTTGGTTTATGTTCCAATCTTTACTGAAATTCATCATCTACACCTAAACCTAGTCAACTTTGTCCTAGACACTAAGTTGAATCACCTGATCATTTCTTCTTTTGAAGAGGTTCTTTTGAGGAATTTTATGATTCATTTGTGAAATTATATGATGAATCCTAACCTCATGGGAGATCCCTATCAAAAACGTTATTATTGAAATTTTCCAATGTTTGTCCACATCCCTTCTTTCCTCATTCAGATCTTTCCATTTACTTTTATATGTACAATATTTCCATCACCTAAAACTTGTCAAATATACAATAAACAATTTAGTTTCTTTCAATAAACTTGTCTACCAATTGCTGTCTCTTTCCTCTCAGCTTCCTCTCTCAAATCTCGCTCTCTTTATCCCAGGGAGTTCCACTCAACTTCTCATTATATATTTATGATTGCTCACTTCATCTTTAGTTACTGACCGACCTGACTTGTAGTTACTGACTTGTATTCCGTTAGGCAACAAAGTTCTGTTTTAACTTCTGTCATGTGCTGACTTAAGGCAGAGAAAACAAAATAAATAAAGTATATACTAGGAAAACACAAGATAATATCAAAATTGAAATGCCATATAATAAAATTTTGCACTAACAGATTAGTCTGCTGCAACACAATCTTAAGGCAATAATCAAATAATGGCATTAGGCTTTCCCAAACATTCCCCAAACAACCATCCTCCCCCACCCTCATACCACTATCTTGATATAAATTCATTTTTACTGACTTTGTTTAAGCAATCAGAAATATTCAAAAGCAAAGTGCTAAATCTCGTTTCCTATTTAACCAATTAATATAGTAATATAAGATACGAGCTTACTACCCACACGACAAATTCCATTTCCTTAAAAAAAAAAATCAGCATTTATATATTGTCCTTCACAACCTCAGGAGATCAAGTCCTTTAGAGCCAACCATTTTTAAATTGTGGTCACTGTTGTAATGTAGGAAATAGGGCATTTGTGCACAACAAATTTCTACAAATAGTAATCTGAACAATGACCAGATAACCTGTTTTTATGATGTTAATTGAGAGATTGGCGTGGTACAGGAGATAACTTCCCTACACTTCAAAGAAGTGCTACTATGGGATCATTTTACATCCAACTGAACGAGCAGATAGTACCTGTTTGACTTTCCATCTGAAAGATGGCACCTCTGATTATGTAGCACTCTCTAAGCACTGCACTGGAGCGTCAACCTGAAATTTTGTGTTCAAGTTCTGGAGTGGAATTTTAACTCACTTCTCATTTTTTTTGTGTACTGTCTATTCATTTAACAGCATTGAATCTCTGATTTGTTTTTGTCTCTGTCTGGTTGCACAGCTGAGTGTGAGCTATACACACAACTTTTCAATCAGAGGCAAGAGTGCTTCCAACTGAGTTGCAACTGACAATGGCCCTAGTAGAATACTTCCTAAAAAGCCACACATAATAGACAAAACCTTTATCTCCTTCCTAGTGGTGAACAAGCATAAAATATTTTAAATAATTAATTAATTGTGACCTTATGGAGGCTCCTACAGGCCATATTAGATAACTGAGCCATCTCTTCAAATGCCAGTGTCCACTTTAGACAGTAATGGAGGATTACAAGCCCACAAACCAAGACAAAATAATGTATCAGGGATACCAGACAAAACTCCATTTTGAAATTACGATCGATTGGCTTACTTATCACCTCACATAAACAGGGTTGGCATATATTTATAACATGATGTAAGAAAGACAAAGCTTGTATCTATATTGTGTATATGTTTTAAATCACATCACTGCTTTCTTATCATTCAAAACCTTTGTTGAGTAATGAGAAACAAAATAACACAAATTTAGAAACAGTCAAAGAAATTGCTAAAGCAGGACAACGGGTTGTGTAAAACCACAGCTTATCCTTTGCTAAGAACGTGAATCAAGTAAAACTCGAAAGCGCATACTGAACCCAAATGCTGACATTTCATTGTGATGTCAGTACCTTCGCACAAGCCAAACAGGTGGACATAGAGTCCAGTAGACCATTCAAAGTAAGATCTATCGGTATTTATACATCAATTTATAAATCAATATTTATACCCCCAGTTAACATTAAGCGGGCTATTCCCTAAATTTACTTTTTGCCGGATATTACTTTGTGCAAATTAACTTCCCTTCCTCTCTGCTGATCTTTATTGGGTCCAAGCGCTCAGGATATGCTATTAACAAAATGTACTTTATTACAGTAAATTTATACGCTTTTAAAATTTTTTATCAAAACTGGAAACCAAAAGTGGAACGCAGCAGGTGCGGCCAAAACTTCATTTTGTTTCAGTGATACTGACGGACGTGATGCGTGCTTCCACTATTTTCGAACCTTTCAGCTGTTCAGGAACCACCGCCTGCCACTCCTTATTTCACCTTCGTCATTATCTGGAGGATAATCAACGTGGAACTTTTTCTTCTAGTAAGTGACACTTTTTTGGAAAATGTTTTTACTTGAGAGAAATGTAACATGAAAGGTTTACTCGAAAAGATATGCACGAATAACGCTGCCATAAGCGACTAGCTGACAAGTGAACGGACAATTCTGAAATTTGTAAATCTGGGATACTTTGAAACTACGAACATGCAAAAGCACGACCTAAGTTATTTCATTTCAGTCCCGAAAACGAACACCATTCAACAACCAGTTAGAAAAGGCGCTTTAAGAAAGAGCAACTATACCATATCCTGTACTCCTCGAAACGTCGCATCCAACAGCATCAGTTTCCAGGGTTCGGAAACCGTGCTGGGAATTGGAATATACACATAATAAGCTATCAGAGCGGCAGTGATCACCATCAATGGGACGGTTGCTCGCATCATTACAGAATGCGAGTCCAAGACTGGAAATGATTACAGAAGCACAAACACATATTTCCTCCACAACCATTACTTAACCCAGACAGATAGAGACCAATCAGCTCGCAGCAGCTTTGGTAATCTACATATTGGCGGTGGGTTGGTGGGAATTGTAGTTTTGTTGGGTAGGAACTTTGGGAAATGACAAAGTTTGACAAGAAGAGCGAAGCAAAAAAAAACCCAACCAGTGAGCTAAAAGATTGATATGATTAGGCATTGATGTTAATTGTGGAGAATAAGTTACCACGGGTTAATTTAAATGCACCATAATCTTACAGGTCTTTAGTTCGGAGCTGCAAAGCAATGGGTGCCTGACGGATTTTTTTTAGAGTATCTGAAGGCGATAATATTTGGAATGAGACATTGCTAGGAAGGGAGACTACGTTATGGAATGTAAACGTTGTGTATCCTTTGTCCAAAATTCGAATGGGGGGGGGAATCAAAATGACGTCACAGGCAGGCTGCCGCCATCTTTGTGACAGGCAGAGAGGCAGTGGATGCTGGCGGCTACTGCTAGAAAATGCCAGTCTCCTGCAGTGCAGTGGACTGCAAGAACCGTTTCAAGAAAGGGAGCGGTATAACTTTCCACAGGTAAGGTAGCTATGAGGACGTCTTTTTTAAATGTTATTCGATGTAATTCTGTTTTTAGTCTTCTTGCGTAAAAAATCACAAGAACTTTTTTTTTGAGCGTAGCTGCTAGGTTACGTTGATGTAGTCTTGGAGGCGATTTTAATCATTCACCTCTGGGGAAGCAAAGTTGGGCAATTCGTGCACAGTGGGCCCTCTTTAAAGCTGTCATTTCTCTGTTGCTTTGTGTGCTTCTGCACTTCATTTAATTGGTTATTATTTGAGATCTTTTTAAAATCTACAGGAAAAGGATTTAGAATTTTACTAAAGCACTTTACTTTGGGGGGGGAGGGGGAAGAAGCTAAACCTGACATTTGGAAGGCTCTTTGTATTTTTTTGTATTCTATTATTCTGTGCTTGTCCTACACCCCCTTTTTCCAAAGACGGATGGTACATTCTGCGTACGTCTGTATTGGCCAACAGCTTCTATCTTATTCCTGTTCGTGTTTGTGTTTATGTTTATTACATCTACTTCCTAAATTAGCTCGAGCCAAAGAATTTACCTTGAAGGGAGTTTAAGAAAATGCCCTTCCCAGAATTAAGAATTCCATCAGTCACGTTTTTGTTTACTTTGAGCCACTGGAGTTAATTGTATTGTGAATCCGTATTGTGACTGACTTCACCAGATAGCATCGAGTTTATGTCAGACGGGTTCAATTTTGTGCTAGTGGGAAGGGTGCAGTAACATATTCCGGCAAAATCAATAGCAAGAAAACTTTTCAAGTCTTGATTGAATTACTTTCTTGTATCAGCAATAGGCTGACTGCATAACAAACATTTTGAGCTTGAGTAGTGGGGTTATTGCCTGACCGCTGACTCGAAATAAGTGTTTGGAGTTTCTCCTATGGGTCTTCACATGACTGAACGCACCGACTTCCAGCCAGCAGAACTTTCACCATACGGGCAGTGAGATCTTGAGTTCAAGATTTGTTTGCTTTCCTTTATTGCTGTCCCTCATTATTACATTGAAACTAGGAGCAGGTGTAGGCCATTCAGCCCCTCGAGTCTATTTGACCATTCAATATGAAGTGGAGGGTGAGGGATGACCTATGATCTGATTAATTAAGGCAGAGAGATAATTACAAAAAATCAAAAATAATATCTTCATTTGCCAGTCAGCTGTTGACACTTTACTCACACCTCTTTGACACTTTTGATCAATGTAAAAACTTGATATTCAGCCTGTTGATGCTTCCCTCACACCATTTGTACCATCTTTTGACACTCAATTACCTGGAATTATCTTGCAATTATATCTCTGCCTGTAAATTCTGTGCCTGTGCACTTCCCTCTACTTCAACTGATGAAGGAGGAGTGCTCTGAAAAATTGTGATTTCAAATAAACCTGTTGGACTATAACCTGATGTGTGACTTCTGACTTTGGACACCATTCAGTACAATCATGGCTGATCCTCTATCTTAATGCCATATTCCTGGTTTCTGGTCATGTTAGAATATTGCACATTGCCATCAGATCCCCTGTCATCTTTCTAAGTTCAAGTGAATACAGGTCCAGTTGAACTAATCACTCCTCATAGAACAATCCTGCCGCCCCTAGTATCAGCATAGTAAGCCTATGTTGAACTTGCTGTGTGGCAAGTATATCCTTTCTTAGACACGGAGACCAAAACAGCATGCAATACTCTGTTTGGTCTCACCAAGTCCCTGTTTAACTGCAGTAAAACATCCTACTTCTGAACTTGAATCTTCTTGCAATGAGGTCAGCATACCATTTGCCTCATTAATGCTTGCTAGTATGTGCCTAACTACTTTCATTGACTCATTATGCAGTTGAGTGATGTCGTGGAGCTGAGCCTGGTCGTTGCTTGGGATGGTGACGTTATTTCCTGTAGTGTCGAGTTGATAAAATTTTTCAGAGACACTGTACCTTCTACAACAGCAATTGTCTCATTTGATGAACCTGAGCTAGTTGCCTCAACTTTCTTTGCGTGATCTCATAAGTTGTGCAATTAATTAGCATAATATCTCAGCTGTGGTCTGAATAATCTTTGTACTTGTAAGGGTGCAGAATGATACCTTTCTTTTAGATATAGCTTTCTGTGAAAGAAAAATAGTATCATCAAACCCGACAGATTCTACAAGTTACAAGTAAACTTTAAACTAAGGTACCTTTCTATTCATTTGACCAATCTGAGTGGCATATAGCAAAAATAATTTTTATCTTAACTTGAGATTTTACAGAATTCATACTTAATGTAGCAATACTTAACTTCATGGTGTTTTCTTGAATAGATAAACTTAATCAAGACCAGATAAAGCATGACACATTTATATCCCACTCAAGTTATTTCTGAGCTTAGCCTTTAATGCTGGTGCAGTCATTGAAGAATATTTCATTTGTATATAAATCTTAAGTGTCTTTATTTAATTTCTACTGTTTATCAGACTCCATCTTGTGAACATCATTAAGGGGAAATTTATTTTGAGGATATAGTTAAGGTAATTTTCAGGGCATTTCCCCCTAAGCCTTCTCACTTGTCTAACGTAATGTCAGCTGAAGAGCGACTGAGCCTCTAATTGGGCAATTAATGTATGAAAAACTGAAAGAACTGCGGATGCTGTAAATCAAGAACAAAAACAAAGTTGCTGGAAAATCTCAGCAGGTTTGGCAGCATCTGTGAAGGGAAAAAACAGAGTTAACATTTCGGGTCCGGTGAATGTAAATATATTTTTCTGTTTTGACAGTTCTGGCATGAAAACAAAGGATGATATGCCTAGAAATTCATGTACCTAACTTGTGCTAGTACGTCTTGCCATTATCTGTTTCAAAACTGGTGGGAGATTAAAACTAAATTCATCGCTACAGGAATATTAAAGACTTTGGATTTTTAACAGTTTTAACCAGTCATGAAATGTAATCCCCAAGTAAAATAAATAATACCGTGACTCTTTAATATGTACTATTATTTATTGAGTTCCTCTAAATTAGAGGATTTAATGTTTCCCCTGCATGACATAAACAGGCCTGTTGTTTTGAAAACAGTACACTTTCTGACTCCATGTGAGCAAGACCACAGGAGATGTGTTACATATTTTTAATCTTGGAACTTGTCTCCCATTAATATGCTTTCAATTTCTATGATTTGAGTCCTTGAAAGTGGCCATTTGGTTTGTTGTATCAGTTTTCAGTGCAAGAAAACGTTTGATGGATAAATAACTATGAAAGATATTTTACATATCATTCTATAGTTTCTGGTTGAATGAGAGACTTGAGTTAATTTACCATTTAAAACTGCTAATGAGGAGCTTTTATTGCATTCAAAATAATTACACGAAGTTAAGTGCATCTAATCTATTGTCTTATTCTTGCTTCTGTGAACAACTTGTCAGTTTGGTGTTTTCAGTCAGTTGGATATGTGATCCTAGTTCCCGTACATAAGATGGCAGATGGGGATTCATTCTTTATCTGGAAATGAATTTTGCATCAACTTCATATACAAAGCAACCTTTATAAACTGATACCTTGAATGACATCTCTGAGTGGGCACCCAAAATATTAGTATACAGAAAAAATTGCAACATATTAAAATTAGACATTGTTTACCACTTTTGTTTAGGCGCACAATTTAGCATTCATTTTGTACAATGAGGTCTCATGAAGCAATCCTGCAAACCAGGCTTTGATCTGGCAGCGTGAGGGTGAAATTTGTACGGTGAGATCGTTGACAAAAACCTTTTAGGCCATTTTTGATGTGGATATTTTAAAGTGCAGTTTTTAGTTTTTTTTTGTTTTGTTTTAATTGCATTGAAGATTGAAAACTTTTCAGTCGTATACACCAATGGGAATTGATTTGATCCAACTGCTTTGTGTTTTTGGTTGCTATCTTAACATCCAAGGGAAAAGCCATAATATGTGGCACCTTTATTTGTTCTTCATGAACGTCTTTGTCTTTGTCTTTGCCTATTACATTTAATGTAAATATCTACCAATGTGACATAAGAAATGTCTTCATTAGGGTTAATATCTTATATTTTGCTGTACATATACTAAGCTAGGTAATCTGATATAATATTTAAAATGTCTTGAGTGAATTAAGACTTCTGTAACCCATAGTTTCTGTTGTGGAAGGGCATCAAGACCTGGGAACAATGATGTCACTGAGTTGTAGATCACTGGCTATATATACCACAGCACGGATGGAATTGAAATACACTGAAAAAAATCAGTCTGGAAGATACAGCAGAATGTGAGATGATGGGAAAGATACAGAACACATGGACATGAACACACACAATAGATTAGTCGTTACTTTGTGAACTACTAGCTTACAAAGTATCTTAAGAGCTGGGTCCTTCCCAACTGGGGCTAGCTTTCAGACAAGGAAAGGTGAAAAATGATGCTTATGCTAAAATAAAGGTCTACAGTAAAAGCTTGGTCAATCTTTATAAATCTTTTACAAAAACAGAAGTTGCTGGAAAAACTCAGCAGGTCTGGCAGCATCTGTGAAGAAAAAGGTCTCGG